CAAACGTTATTATAAAGTCAAATCAAATTATTGATTTAAATTATAAATCAAATCATAATTAAACAGATCAAATCAGATCAGATCCAATCAGATCAGATCAGATCCGATCAGATCCGACCAGATCAGATCAGATCCAATTAGATCAGATCAGATCATATCAGAACTTATAAAATCAGATCAGATCAGAAAAAATAAGTTGAACGGAACGGAGCCTTACTCCATCTTTTATTTTCAACTAGTATTTTTTTTAGGACCGCATGTGCTCTCACCCCAACCCCGCATTGGTATGATATTGTTCGCTGTGGTGTGATCACCTTTTTCAAAATGGAGGAGGCCAATTTTTACCTTCTCCCCTGCCCACTTCCTTTATCTCTCTAGAATTTTTGTAATTTATTTCTTCAAAGAAGCTTCAAGCTTCCATTAATGGCTTTCGAGCCCAAATCATGTACCGTGTACAATCATCCGATATTAATAAAAATTCCCCGTTGGTAAGGTATTGCCAAAAAGGCCCGTGTTTTTTTCCCGATTTGGGTTTCCACGTCAACTTTCATGTGATTATATTTTGGTGAATTTTTTAGACTAGTTTATCGTTTTTGCCCGGCTAAAAACGATATATCGGTCGATAATTTACACCATTATTTCGGTCAAATCATGTATCGTGTACAATCCTCCAATATTAATAAAAATCCCCCGTTGGCAAGGTACTGCCAAAAAAGGCCCGTGGTTTTTTCCCGATTTGGGTTTCGACATCAAAATTCCTGTGTTTATATTTTGGTGAATTTTTTAGACTAGTTTATAGTTTTTGCCCAGTTAAAAACGATATACTGGTCCATAATTTACATATAAAATTTTAAACACTAATATCCCTTTCACCTCTATCAATTTTGTCATAAACTCACCCTTGTGTATATTTTACCATCTTAAAGCTTAAAAGTAAGTCTTTTTAAGTATAAAATATTTATAGTTTTGAAAACTAAGTTTTGTATAATTATTTTATAAACAAGTATTTTAAAATAACTCTTTTTAAAGTAAGAAAAATAAAACTTTTTAAGCTTTAACATTGCTTCCATGCATCATTTCTTCCTACAAGCTAAACAATTATTAAAAATAATGGTTTGTAATTGAAATATAATAATAATAATAATAATAATAATAATAACAGTAATAATATAACAACAATAATATTTAAAATTATAATATTAATTAAGATTTAGGTGTGTGTATTTTTAAATAAAGTAATGTGATTTAATCAAGTAATAGTAATTATTATTTAACCCTTGAAAAATATAAAAATTATCTTTTATATTTTTCTTGATTTGATATTATTGGATTTGATCTGGTCTGATCTGATCTGATTGGATTTGATGTGATCTGATTGGATCTGGTCTGATCTGATTGGATCTGATCTGATCTGATTGAGTCTCATCTAATCTGATTGAATCTGATCTAATCTGATTGAATTTGATCTGATCTGATTGGGTCTGATCTGATATGATTGAATCTGATCTGATCTGATTGGGTCTGATCTGATTTGATTGGGTCTGATCTGATTTGATTGGATCTAATCTAATCTGATTCGGTCTGATCTGATCTGATTGGATATGATCTGATCTGATTCGATCTGATTTGATCTGATTGGATTTGATTTTATCAAATTAGATTTGGTGTAAATGAATTTAAATTTGATTTAAATTAAAATTATTACAAAATTTAATAGTTTTAAAGTTTTAAAATTCTTATATACATAAAAAAAGTAAAATAAGAAAATTAGCTAATCATTGATATGTTTAAACTTTTATTAAAAATATTAATATCTTTTCAATATCACAACTTTTTAAGATTTTGTGAAAACTAAATAATCCATATTAAAATAACCAAATATTAGAAAATATTGATGGTATTCTACAAAAAACATTCTATATGCATATTACATAATAATATATTTCATGTTACAAATTAAAGATCATATAAAATTTTAAACACTAATATCCCTTTCACCTCTATCAATTTTGTCATAAACTCACCCTTATGTATATATTATACCATCTTAAAGTTTAAAAGTAAGTCTTTTTAAGTATAAAATATTTATGGTTTTGAAAACTAAGTTTTGTATAATTATTTTATAAACAAGTATTTTAAAATAACTTTTTTTAAAATATGAAAAATACAACTTTTTAAGCTTTAACATTGACTCCATGAATCATTTCTATCCTACAAGCTAAGAAATTATTAAAATTAATGGTTTGTAGTTGAAATATAATAATAATAATAATAATAATAATAATAATAATAATTAAAACAACAACAACAACAATAATAATAATATAACAAAAATAATAATTAAAATTATAATATTAATTAAGATTTAGGTGTTTGTAGATTTAAATAAAGTAATGTGATTTAATAAATATTATTTTTTATATTTTTTCTTGATTTGATATTATTGGATTTGATCTGGTTTGATCTGATCTTATTAGATCTGGTCTGATTGAATCTGATCTGATTTTAATAAGAATAAGTAATAAGTAGAAAAAATAAATCCTACGGAACGGATCCTAAGAGGTTATATATAAAATAAGGGATATGCTAGGGGGTACACCATGGTGTACCCCAAATGTACACCACTTGCCTCTACACCATTCATTTTATTTTTTACTTTTTTTTGAAATTTTCTTGCCTTTTTTGTGTGGTGATGGAGGGAGTGGGGATGTTTGGGGTACACTCCCTAGCATTTTCCATAAAATTAATGTCAAGAGTGGGATTTGAACCCACGCCCTTTCGGACCAGTACCTGAAACTGGCGCCTTAGACCGCTCGGCCATCTTGACGTTTTTTAATCTATCTTCTTTTACAAGATATTTATACTATATGTTCTCATTACACTGCCCCTCCATACCAAATTCTTAGTCTTGTTTGACACATATATAGTTTATCTCTTTTAAAATAATTATTTTATTAACAAATTTATAAAATAATAAAATGTATAACGTACATATTTAAAACTAATTTAAATTTCTACAAAACGAATAGGATATGACTAATTTATTTTATCAAATAATAAATGAAAATATACACAGAAACAAAAATTGTAGACAACTCCAATAGCAAAGAGGACATCTCTTTGGAGAGGTAGAGAGTACATGTTATGGCTCTGTTCATTTGAATTTCTAACTCTTAACATTAAACATTTTTCAATTTCTTCCAATTTTAATTTCTAACTAATTTATTCAAATTGGTCGTTTTTAGAGCAGCGGTAAATGGACGTTCTGCTGCGTTTTGGACCCTTTGATGGCAGAGGCTCATGTGTTAAGAAAAGCGCACACTTGGCTAAAGGGGAGAGGTAGTCTTCGTGTGGTTTGTTCTCATCTCTGGTTATTCGAGTTTAGTTCAAGCCATTAATCAGGGGAGAGGTATATATAGTACTTCTTAGATCATATGCCTTGTTTTATTAACGTTTTTGTTTTGTTTATTCCATGTACTGGTAATGTCGTGCTGAGGCACAGTTGGGATCATGGGAGCTTTCTCCTCTGATTTTGTATGTCCTTTACGCAATGGCAGGGTCGGCCCATTAGGGACAGGCTGCCCGTCCAGACCAGGCCCATCATTCTTTATTAGATTGGAACGAATTGATATGAATGGATCGAATGAATTGTTATGAATGTATGATACTTTCTCCGTCCCTAAATATTTGCCACATTTGTATTCCCGAGGTAAAATATCAAGTTTTTTTAATTCATTTTATTTACATATTGGTATAGAAATAAAAAATAAAATTTACATATCAAAAAAGTACATGAAAAGTTCTACGAAATAAGAGGTGTCAAGAATATTTTATTTTATCAAATAACCAATGAAAACGTAAAAATAAACAAAAGTTCCCGCAACTGCTGAAAAAGCAAACGTTGCAAATAATTTAGGACGGAGGGAGTATATAAAATTTGTTTTTTTTAGAAATTTAAAGTATGTATTTGTTAATGGTGTCTTTACTTGCTTAATACAAATTCTTCGTTCAAAAAAAACTATATGTAGGGGGCTGTATTAAAAAATAGGGAAAATTATTTAAAATAATCTCAGCCTTTTGCATTCTCCATAAAACAATTCCACTTTAATTTTCACTTCCACGAGAAATAAACTAAGTTTTCTGCATTTGTGCGAGTTTTGGGTTTCCGTTAGAAAGATAACACAGTCACTTAACGGATCTTTTATTAACATAAATTTCAAATTTTAAAAATATTAAAAATATTAAAAAAGAGAATTTAACTAAAATAATCTCACATTTCATTTATTTGTGAAAAATATACATTTTCTAAAAAATGAATTAAGTGAGTGTTAGCAAGCTCTTAACGGCAATCCAAAACTCGCACACATGCGGAAAAGTTGAGATAATTTTTTATTACACTGAAAATGGGATCATTTTTGGAAAAATGCAAAAAAGGAAAATTATTTCAGATGGTTTTTCAAAAAAAGATACAAAGCATAGTTTTAAAAATCGGACTGGCCGGCACGAACCAAAAGAACCGCGAACCATTTTTTTTCTCGAAAATTTTCCAAAATTAAAAAATAGAATTTAACTAAAATAATCTCCCCTTTTAATTATTTGTGAAAAATATACATTTTCTAAAAGATCGATTAAGTGAGTGTTAGCTTTTTAACGGCAATCAAAACTCGCACGCATGAGAAATTTGAGATTATTTTTCATTACACTGAAAATGAGATCATTTTTGGAAAAATGTAAAAAAGTAGAATTATTTCAGATGGTTTTTCAAAAAAAAAAGATACAAAGCATGCATATATATATATATATATATATATATATATATATTAAATTTTCAAAAATGTTTGAACCATTGGTTCAACCATTCGAACCATTGTACTGGTTCGACCAGTGAACAATCGATTCGATCGTCAGTATCGTCAGTCCGGCTCTGAAAACTATGATACAAATTAAAGTACTTGTAACGATAAAAGATAAATGTACAGATAAACAAAAAATACTAAAATCAAACGGACGGTATTTTATTACACACTAGAGTTATATTACACAAATTAGGAAAGAACTTTCCCAATTTACATTGGATTTGGAACGTTTAGCAAAGGTATAGGAAGAATATCGACCAATAATGTCCTCAAAAACAAGCCTCACACAAACAGCAACAGCAAAGGGCAGCAAAACTGCATTAAACAAACACCAAGATTATATATTTCATTAGTACTTCATAATAATAACCCTTACTTAAAATATTATTCGCGATTCAATTTTTATTGAATGGTGTTGACTTTTCTTATCTTTTCAATTTAGAAAGAAAAATTGTCTGATAGGCCGGATTCATAACGTATCTCTCATTTTACTTCAGGAGCATGCTACATGTTCCCCAAAATTTGTATCCTATTTGTACACTAAAAATATGCACTAACATTTTGATGGTTCACACTGATACAAAATGTTGGTGTGTTAACAAAAATTTATACTGACACAAAGTGTTGGTACGTTAACAAAAATTAGCATTATACCAACACAAAATATTGGTGCATTCCTGCGTTGTACAAAATGAGGTATAAATCCTTGGTGAAATAGCTTTATTCTTTACCTAATTTTAACCACACTTTCATGGACTCAATTTGATCTAATATTAAGGTTAGAGATTGATTTTAACATTTTGAAAAAAACTTTTGGGATGTAATCTTTATCCTTAGTGTTTTATTCAAGCTCGTCGTAATATTTAAAAACATTCAAATCTTAGAGTACATAGTAAGGAATAAAATTTCTTTTGTGGTCCTTACGTCCATACTTATTGTATGGACATTGAGACATGAAATAATTAAATATATTGGGCCCTGTAAAATGAGACAAATGCAACTACGAGTTCATGAAAACTATGTGAGAATGTTCACATTATGTATGTAGATCTTAAAACCACGATAGCTCAACTCATAAGGAATATATGTTTTTCTTTAATTCGTTGCATGATTGCGTACTTAGCTTAATTAATCTAAATTTTAATTAATTAACCCAAAGCTTAATGATTTACACGATTATGTTTTAATTTGTTTGTTCATGCTTTGTCCTTTGATGTCTCAATTACATTACTTAGCTAGAAACAAGCGATCGAAAGAAAATTATTTAACAAAACGGAAGGAGTAAAATGTTACAGGTATTAAAACCTGAAATATAAAAAATTCAAAATATTGGGATGGAGTATATATATATATATATATATATATATATTCGTAAGAGAACAAAAGGGAGAGAACGAACTAACCATCCTTTCCAGAAACCATCACCTCTGGCCTGGGTGGTGGTGGCCGTAGCCGGCGCCTGGCTCTGGTTCCCGTCTTTCATCGGATAACCAACTGGAGGCGGCCGAACCATGTAACTACCCCGCGGTTCTGACGGATACCCGGTGGCTGGTGGCGGATACACTGATTCAAATAATTAAAAAAACAAGGAGTAATTTATAACCTACTAATCCCTGCCTGCTATATACTCAAAAATTGTATTGAAGAGACCAGAACTTCATATACCTTTGTTCTCGGCGTAGTTGCTCATGTCGATGTGCGTATAGCTAGCGTAATTACGCAATTAATTTTAGGTTGTGGATTATTTTAAGTAGATGATTTTTAATTGTATTTCGAATACGAAGAATAGGTGCAACCAACTATGTCTATATGTGTGTGTTTTATACACGTAACACATGTAGAGGTGGGCGACGCGGGATTGGTGTTAAAGCATACTTTGACAGTTTGACCTTATCCAAAAGAGGGCAGTTTGGTCTTTTTATAGTTATAATCAAATAAATTGTAATGAAAAATAATTTCAGTGAAATCTCATAAACCGATCTAGGATGACTATTTTAAGATAGAGGAAGTGGTCTTTTAGTAGTTGTGTTTGAATGATTCTAAAGCCTTATGTGAAATGTTGTGCTCCTCACAATTTAGTAAACCCACATTGGGTCTTTTATTTTTTAAAAGAGTAATTCATGAATCACTGGTTTTAATTGAGTTCTCGTTTCTTTGACCATTGTTACGTCGGGAGGAAGAGAACGGACATGGCGGCGAGGACGCCCCGCGTGATCGAGAAGGCCGGTTATACCAGAGAATTCAATTCAACAACGGCGGCAATGTTCAATCCACTGAATAAACATAATGCTTTGTGGTGGGCTAAATGTTCAATTAATGTGCAGTACAGTACAGTTGAAGGGTTCCACCAAATGCATAAATTGCAGTCGGTGAGAGCTGTTGATTTGTTTCCATTTGTGTGTGCTTTGGAATTGGATTCTCAGTACGTGGCATGCACTGTGAAGGTTCTCTTGCTTTAAAATGTGGCCCATGCCTTTCCAATCACGTGCTTGATAGTTGTCCTATCATAAAGAGCCGTGTTTGAAATGAGTGGTTATGGAGGAGTTGGGGATAAACAGGGTACACATTTGGTGTACCCGTAGGGGTTTGGATAGTTTTTAGCAGTAAGGATTAACAAAATGAGTTTGGCGTAACAGAATGTCACTAAATTCATTATTTGTCAATTTTTTTTATTTTTCTTTCAATGATAATGTTATTGAATTCTTTAAAAAGTTCAAAAATATCACATAAGTATGACTCCATCCTTCCCTAATTCCCCTAAATATTAACCACATTTCGTACAACGTGTAAAATATCATCTCTTTTAAAATCATTTTATTATATGTTGGGAGACAAATTAAAAATATAAATTATCCAGTTTAAAAGTATATAAAAAATTATATAAAACAAGATGCGACAACAATATTTTATATTATCAAATGGTTACCGAAAACGAATAAACAAACAAAAGTTATCTCGAAGTTGATATAATAACAGTGGGTCTCTGACAATTTTTTCCGGACGGAGGGAATATCTTTTTTCGAAAATCATATTATCTATTTTTTTCTTTTAATGATGTTATATATTGAACTCTCTTAAATTTTACTCCGTAAAAAATATCACTCAAATATTTTTTAAATAGTCATAATGTTTTTAAATAAGTAATTTTTTCCCTTTAATTCTATACACATTCTAGATTTTTCTTATTTTTTGTATGTTTCAATAGTGCATCTAGGTCCACAAAAATTAATTATTTTGAAACATATGTAGTTTTATAATACTTCTTGTGTCTCAAATTATTTTTCTGGACTTGGTTTGGCATAAATGTCAAAAAAAAGTCAAATTTGGTGAATAAAAATGATGTAAAGGAAAGTGAATGGGGTAGTTTGGGACAGAGGGAGTATAAAATATTTTGTCATAAAGCTTGTTTGAGACATCTTGAATAAGAAAACTTGAAGGTTAGTTTGGGACAGAGGGAGTATAAGATATTTTGTCATTTTTTCATTAACAAAAATAATATCTTCAGTGTCTAAAAAAATACCTTCACTTCAAAAAAGTAGTTCTTACTTTGTTTATTATCTTTCTAAAGACACTACCACAAAAAAAGTCAAATTGACTACCTCATTTGCATCGGTTTTAGATAAAATCGATGCAAATGGGATTTTCGATTACGCCAACTATTAGCAATTAAATCAGAAACTAGTAATAACCGATTCAATAGGCTACTGAATCGGTTAGTACTGAAAACTGATTCAATTGCTTGTTCGCCAACGGTACCAATTGAATCAGTTATTAGTAATACCCGATTCAATAGCCTATTGAATCGATTATTACTAATAACCGATTCAAAAGGATGGACTAAAAACTATCACATGAAGCCTATCTTTCTTACGCAATCTATTTTTCCTTCAGCACCGCCACCGTCGCTCCTTCGCCGTCGCCACCAAGGGTTTGCCGTCACCACACCGTCGCTTCGCCATCCTCCACCCCCCGCCATCCCCACTATCGCTTTGCTGTGTTCGTTGTCTTCTTCCTTCATACTTCATCCGTCGTTAGTGTCGCGTGTGCAAACCGGATGCTTTCACGTTGCCTCCTTCCCGTCGTCGCCACCTTCTTGCCGTCGCCCTCCCGTCCTCGACGCTGCTCTACCGCCACCGCAGACGTCATCTTCGCTCATTCTAAGGTATATTTTAATTTTCCAGTTTAAATCTTAAATTATACTAATATTTATTTGTATATTTTTGTATTCGTTGAATACATGAGGCTATATCATATTTTATATTAATTTTTTTTCTTTAAATCCTACATATAATTTTAATTGTTTGTATATTCTTGTATTAATAGAATATGTGATGCTATATTGTTTATTTATCATTTATTTACTTGTTCGATGCTAATCAGAACATACATTGTATATTATTTGTTTACTGGATGCTACATGATTTGAGATGATTTTATGTAGAAACAACATATATCGATTGACCTAGATACCCGTTTAAAATTTACTCATTAGGAGTAAATTTTTAAGATCTCCTAGTTTGAAGCTGTTCTTGAACTGCTTCCCTCACTTAGGTTGTGAATAAATTTCTTTTTCTTTGTTTTATCATTGTTTTGGTTTGACGTTTTCTTCAGGTGCATTTGTAATTACATTACATCGTGCATGTAACACCCTAATCTGTCCATGTCTGCAGCCCTTTTCAAACTAAAGTATAAATTTGGTAATCGTAAAAAATTAAAACATTTCCAAACACTTTTATTCATCACCAGAATAATATTCATAACAGAAATAGTACGGAATTTTCAATGTTGCGCAAGCTTAACAGTTCACAATCACAAAGCATAATTAATTTATGTCTTTTAATTTAAAATCAACACATCCATCATGACAATCTCGCGTCCGTCTGCCGCCAGGATCATGTCACATCATTTTTTCTATTTACATGCGTGTAGCAAATAAAATATACTACACGCTCAAAGTTGAAACCGAGTAAGGATATCTAATGGATCATATCGAACATTCAAATAAATTGAATCTCAATTCATAATAATCATTTGATATCATGCACATAATATTTAGTTTAAACATTCATCATATAATAATCAACATTCAACATTCATATTCAATAATACTCTCAAACTTATTCTTAGTCTAAGGCCAATTTCTTGATGTTTACCAACTCTTAAACTAATTCTAGTTTAATGTACTTCTAACCAACTCTTAAACTATATTTAAGTTTAAGGTACTCTTAACCAACTCTCAAACTAGTCTAGTTTTAGGTACAATTTTTAAAAAGGTTTTCCAACTCTTAAACTAGCCTTCGCTTAAGGTACACAAGAAACCAAATAGCGATCTAGAAATTTTAAACAGTGTCATCCGCTCGGGCCAATTTTCGAAAATTTTATTTTTAGCCACCAAACTTTAATTAAACTATATAGAAATGTTCTCTAATGTTCATAGATCATTTTGGTATCATTAGTTCGTAGTTTTAACAACAATTTCAAGGTTTATGGTTCTTGGTTCTTCAAACATGTTAAACACAAAACTTAACCAAACGACCGTTTATGAACGTAGAAACAATATATATGAACATTGTAATCACTAGATATATCTAAGGGCTTACATCGGGCTTAAACATAGGTTTTGAAAATTTTACAGCAAAACTTCGACGAGGTTTGTGGCTAGCTCCGGCGACCTCTTACCAAATTGACAAGAGGAGTTGAGGTTACTCCTTATATAGCTTGAAAAAAGGGATGAAGCCAAACATTTTCCTGTAGTTATGCGTCATTGAGGGGATCGTGAATCAAGCAGTGGAGCAGACGGAGATATTGGAGATATACAAACGATTCTCCTTGATTGGGTTATTTTTGGTCCCTTTTTTTTGGTCTAACTTTCTCCGAATGGAGATCTGTTTGCACTGTTGCGATAAGTCAGTCGAACTCTATCCAACGACATAATTTTTATATTTATTTGTAATAATTTTTCCAATATCATATTTTTGGGGGTTTGAGTTTGATAGAGTCAAAATTTATTTAATTGACCTTTATTCAAAAAGATTCTCATATTTAATTCATATTATTTATTCTCATGATTTATTTCAATAAATCATTTCAAAGTTCATATCAAATTCTTTATTTGGGTTTGTATTCCGGTTCCGAATCAAAATCACACAAATAGTCAGCATATTGGATTTATTTCTATGAGATTTATCCAGATTGTGATATTCGATATCAAAACATATTTCATTTCGGCCCAAAGCCCAATAATTTATTTTAATCAAAAAAAATTTCTTTAATTGAATAATAATTCAATAATAATTTTAGGGTATATTTTGGGGTATTTTAGGGTATATTTCTTTAATTGTGTCTAAAATTTTGTTTCAACATGGTAGACTTTAGGTCTCATTCCTAGGTCTATTAGCTTGAGGGAGTTGTCTTTTTCATCTCGCCTGTGTAGAGTGATGAATGGCTGTCCAATCTTCACTTTACAATTCAAATGATAAATCATAGCTTAATGCATGTCTATGTTGATTCTTGCTAGGCTAATCCTAAAAGTCATCAATATAGAGATAGGTTTTATTGTAGTGTTCATCACTAAATAGAATTACCTCTTGATTTGAAGTTGCAACCACTTGCTGAGAGTGTTGTTATTTCAAATTTGTTTAGTAATTGGTCTAAACTGAAAATCAAGTTTTCATTTACTCTGTCTGATTGAGTTCCAAACCTGCGAAACAAGTGTTTTCTAGAAATCAACTGAGTTTACTCTCTCTACCTGTTTGTTCTATATGCCCTGTATTTCTATGTTCCCTTTTGAGCTTTTGATCAAGTACATTTTAGGTTTATTTTAGCAACTAGAGTAGGACTTTCTGAACACAACCCCTGGAGTGTGTGTGTGTTTGTGGAGCTTTACAGTTGACAAAATTGAAGACAAATCTCCCGAGGAAAAGACCCTACTTACCACTTTGCTACCATTTTCATAAGTGTGTAGATCTTGAGAAATAGGTTAAATTGTTGTCACCTGACTAGTGACTAACAAATTTTGGGCGCTGTTGCTGGGGAGATTTGTTCTCTTCTGTTCTCTCTACTTGTAAGGTAGCTGAAATTTGAAGTTTTATGTTCCCTACCTTGTTTGCTTGAAACTGTTCCCTTCTAAAAGTTAAGTTTTTTACTGGCATTTGTTTAAGTTTGATGTGTTGTCTGTTGGTTGATGCATTTGAGAAGTGGGTTTGACACAGCTAAGGTAAGTGTTAATGAAAATAATGAAGCTCAGGTAAGTGATTCTGAACCTGATTCTTTTTTCTGATTCATCAATTATTTTTGAAAGTGTGTGTTTCGAATCTGATTCTTTATTGTCTTTGCATTTTAATAATCTGCATCATATAACATGGCAACTTTAAGAGAAGTAGTTGCACCTGATCTTCAGACCCAGCCCATGTCCATCACATAGGCTATGTTGGACAGACCATTAAAATTAAACTCTAGATCCTTAATATGCTCCCCAAGTTTCATGGTCTCTCAGGGGAATATCCTTATAGACACATAAATGAATTTCTCATTGCCTGTGCTACCAAGTGTAAGAGGGGCCAGTAAAACTCACATCAAGGAGATTGCAGTTATTGAAATTGTCACACCCTCAATGTTGGGGAGCTTAGGTCCCTTGTATTAAAGTCCCCCAAGGCACTGTATTAAAGTCTCCCCAAGACACCTCGAATGAGAGTTATGAGAGTGAAAGGTGACTATTTCCTCCCAGAGAGCTTTTCAGATCCAAAGGAAGTGAGCGCCATACACAACTACTAAGAATAAAAATAGTGTTATCAATCTTGTTTTGCATAGTGAAGTGGGAAACTTGACTGCACTCCACTTTATCCAATAGGGAGTATTTAGATGAATCCCCGAGAAACCAGATTTTATTTTCTATGGCAGAGCTAAAACCATTGAAGCCAAGTTTAAAAGCAAAACTGTGGCCTTTTTTGAAATTGATCATGGGCTCAATAAAAAAAAGAAATCAATGGAATGATGCTTTTTAAGTAGGGTGAGTCTTTCACGCCTCTTCTTGACTCCCCTAAAATTCTAAAAAAAAAACAATCATTTCAGTGTAAGAAGAACACCATCACGAGACTTCTTAAAGTCCGATCTTGTTCTAACCCTAGATGTAGTGTTAGAACTTAAGAAGTTGGATTTTTTATACCTAAAAAAACTGTTCTTAAATACTTTTACACAAAAATATTTTTTTTATTAAAAAAATTACACAAATCTTGGTTTTTAGACCAAAAATACTTTTTATACTTGAAAAGACCCTTTTGTGCATAAAAATGATAAAATATACACAAGGGAGAGTTTTGGGTCAGAATTGGGTTAAATAGGTTAATAGGTGTCCAAGCTGTGAAACTTGGGCCCAAAATTAAAAATTGGCCCCATGTTAATAAAATACTCCCTGACCGCCTTTTGAGGATTGTTTCCCATTTTATTCCCGTATCCTTTAAGCAAATTGAGAGAGATGAAGCGAGAAACGCAGACACCCAGAAGGGGTCGCCGGTGACAAAACCGACCATCGCCGGCGACTCCCAGCAAGTCTCACTACACGCACGCCGGAAATAGAGAGAGAGTGAGTAGAGTTTCGTGCGGTGTGCATCACACGCCCAGAGGTCTGCCACTCGAACCTCCATAGTTTCGGTTTTGAAGGTATACGACTTTAACCTTGACTTTTGCACCTTAATTGATGAGAATCTGGTTGTGAAAAGGTTAATTGTTCATTTTTGAAGCTTAATTTTGATTCCCAAATCAGTTTCACAGATTTGTCTAAACCGTGTTCATCATTGAAACTCATTGAAGATCTATTTGATATTATTTGCTGAGTAATTGTACCTAGGTTGTTTAATCTGAGTGTTGGAATAAAGTGTATTAACTAGCTCAAATTTCGTATTACATGATTAACTCCTATATATAGAAAATGAAAAACAAGTAACAACCAAAAATATATTCCTAACTAACTAACAAACTATGTAACTAATCAAGTGAACAAATTCTAAAAGGTGGTTTACACCAACACCCCCCTCAAGTTGAAGGTGGGAACAACTTCAACTTGCAACTGAATCAAATCTGTGTTGGCTTCAATGTGTATAAAGATGAAAACCCATTGACCATGGAAGAGGCATAAACAACAAGCTTCTCGTTTAAGATCCTTGCTTCTGGAACGTCTGTCAGTAGATTATGAAAGAAATCAAAAACATGGACTTGCCATATATCCATCTCCTTAGGTATCAACTTCTGTTGTTGAGCCATACAAAAGTGTCTTTTCCATACATTCCCTCTTAGAACACACAGATGTATTTTTGGACAATGAGGCAATATAGGACATCTGTAGGCAATCCCTAGACATTGAGAGGCAACCTTATAGAAACCTGATCCGTTTGATATTGCAAATCAATTCTTCATTGACAACGACTTTGAGGTTTGCAAGCTACATAACAGTGGAGAGAATTTTCTCCATAATTTCAGGCTTGGCAACTCAAGAAATCCCTTAATTATGAAGCTGAGAGACAACTCTCTATTGAATGGGAAAAGAAATGCTTTTGACTGTATGTAGATAGCATCATTCCCATGTCCAGAGATAAAATTTGAAGACAAGAGGTGATAGAAAGCAGCGATGTGCTAGTGATGGTTGCCATGGTTCTCCAGAATGAATAGAAAAGTGAACCATACACAACCGATGATGAAGATGAGATGACAAATCAATTGATGAATTCACACAAAAACATCAAAGGATGAATTGAAAACAATTAACAAAACCAATTGATGAAATCAACCAAAAACCGGATGATGATGAAAGTGAAACTCAATCAAACCGACTGAGTGAAATTGAACAATGATGAAACTTCTGAATTACAGAAGTGAAAGAAAATGATTGAAACTAAACATTCCAATCATGAGAATAAAAGTGAAAATGAAAATGAATTTGGATATTCAATCTGAGAAGTAACACAATGAATAGAGGATGAATATGGATTAGTTGTGATGAAAATGAAATAGAGATGGCAAACTCAAAATGAAGAATATGTTCTGAATTCTATTCAATCTGTGATGAAACCTGATTTGGAGAGATCAATAGACCGAGATGGCGTCAAATTGAAGTTTTCTCCACTCGAATTGACATCCACTGATGAATTATCAACATAAAATTAGTGGACAGCGTCACAGCGACGACTTTTTTTTTGAAGTGATGTGAGACAGGGGCATTGGACTTGGCGATGGTGAGATTGGATTCCGAATGAGATTCCGTTTGAGTAACCACCGGCGGTTCACTCCTAGAAGGCGTTGCCGGCTGCCGCACCAGTACATCATCATGAGCTCGACGAGATCTACAGTTGAAAATCCCTTTCAAGCCATGAACTGCGATGTTGTGGGCATAGAACAGTCCTGGCACAACAACGTTTACGCCGTCGACGGATATGACGTCACCAGACGGTGTAGAGCGACGGCTCTCTACGCGGACATCATGATCGGCGGCGAGAGTGCGGAGAGATGAACCAGGACGGAGCCTATTGAGGCCGCGGACAGAGAGGCGCTGGGGGACGACGTGGCAGCGGAGAGTGGCGGTGTAATCGAACGCCGAATTCACCATGTCCAGCGCAAAGAGAGATGAATCGGTCGGGGCGAAGACCGTGAAAGCAGCTTCTCCGCCGTCGACGAGATCGTACGAGAGGTCGGAGGTGACAATGGCGTTGCTGAAGAGACCGTAGCCGTTGCTTCTCAGAGCTGTCAACATTGAGTCCATCTCTCGCCTCTGGACGGCGGAGACGGCGTCGGATTGGTTCAGGATGACGATGAGTAGAACGGCGGCGACAAATCCAGATGTAGAAGACGCCATTGGAGGACGAGTCCATCTCTCGGTTCCAGCAGTCCAGCTCCCCTTTAATTCTTTTTCTTCATCCACCCCACCCCATCCCTATCCCCACCCCCACGCCCTCTTCTTCTACTTTTTCTTTTGTCTTTTGCTTTCTTTTTCTTCAGTTATTCTGTTCTTCTTTCAGTTCTTCTTCTTCACATCCCCTCCCTCTTTCTTCTTGGTTAGAGTCCTACAGACCCCCTCCCCTCACCCCTATATATTCTTCTTCTTTAACTTCATTAATACAGATTATCCAAATGAAAAAAATTAAATCTAAGGTCATGCCATAAAAACAATCAAAATCTATATGTCAAATCTAAGAAAAAAATATTAAATCTAGGTTTCAATCAAGGATTTGAAAAAATAAAAAATAAAATCTAGATTTCAAATCTAGGAATTCATATAGATATATGTATGTATGTATGTATGTATGTATGATAAGTATTTTTTTATTATATATAATAATGTAATATTATATATCCATGTTTTTATTACTAAAACATTTATTATATAAAAGGTTATACATTAGATTTTTTAGATCATATTACATGACTTTTATAACATTTCCATTAATATATTTTTACATTTATTATTTCCATATTAAGATAAATTAACAACCAATATATATTTCCATATTAAACTATTTCCAATATATTAGTTCATTAAACACAATTGATTTTCTATATAAAAAAGGGTCGAAATTTCACTACTTTATTATACTTTTATTTCCACAAACAATAACAAATTTTTATTAAACCTTTATGTATATAAACTAGCTAGTATCGCACTTTGTGCGATAAGTGCCCGAAAAAGTGCGATAAGTGCCCAATTTAAGGGAAAAATAGTGATTTTTTTAAAAAATAAATTTTAAGCGTAAACAATTTTATTAAAAAATTGAAAAAATAATATCAAGATGAAAATTTTTATTTCTTCTATAATATTCTCTACATGAAACAGTTTTTCTCTTCTTCCCGCTTTGAATATTTTCTTCTTCGATCTGAATTATCTCCTCACATTACTCATAGGTTTAATTTTTTCTCAACTATGAAAATAACTTGAAGAAGCAGAGATTCTAACTTTTGACAAAAAGACACCAAAAAAACAGTAAACTAAAAATGGACAAAATGTTTCCCCACGAAGCAAGTCAATGATGCACAAAAGATATTAAGCAACACAGGAAACAATACAACCAACGGACAGAATGATCTTCTATAAGGTTGATGAGCATATTCCAGCACTAAACATTTAGGGGTTGTATGGTACAGAGTATATTTCGACACCGAGAAACAACCTTATATCAAAATATGAGAAGTCCAAGCCAAAATTTATATGACATAACAAAAAATCATACACCAGATCAGTAAAAAAATAAGCCTATAAAAGAAATGGAACTTTTTTAATGGTTGAGATTACCAAAGAATCTTAATTTTATAACCTACAGTCTCACCCAAATTCAAAACTGATTCTGAAACATCTCTGCATTTAATTTCTACAATCAAATTCATGATGTATGAATGGCAGTCCATATGCAATTCATAATCATAATATAAACAAGCAATAGAAAACTTGCAAACATCAAACATCACTCGTCTTTTCAATTTGATAATTAATTATATTGCATCCACAACATCCTTTATGCGGGAAGATAGAACGATCAATACCCATCCACGAGAAAGGAAAAACACAAAAATTACCTTCGTGCTGGATGGATTGGCCTGGGCTGTGTCTCTGGAAGTACCCGAAACGAATGGTAATCCAGGAAATGAATTTAATGGGGTGACCCATGTTGGGGCGGTGAACGGCGACACAGTGTGTCGTGACTCGTGGGGCGGTGGGCGGCAAATTGGCCAATGGCATCCTTCATTCGTGCGATTTGGAAGTAACAGAGAGAGCCGTTAAAAAAGACGGAAAAGAAGTGAGGCCTAACCATGTTAGCCGCTTATATAATTAGGGGAGATTCTATTGTGGCATGAATATAGGTAGCGTATTTAGTCTATTATTAATTTTATTTACGGATGAAAAAATGAATAAAATGTTATTGTATAACGCACAGATTGCTTTTTGTCTTAAAAGGTATGTATATATAAAAAATAGTTATGTAAACTGTAGTTTTTTATCGGGATTTTACAAAGCTAGAAATGATATAATAAAAGTTTTACATATGAAAAGATTTTTTTAATAATTTCATTTAAGTGATTTTGCATGATACTTTAATATCTTTTTCTAATAATATCGAATTTATGCATTATCTTATAGTATTCACAAACTTGGGATCTCTAATAGTGATTATTGTCAAAGTGGATCATTCCTTGGTCTAGACTGCCTTGATAAAATGTTGCAACTTTGAAATTAATTATCTTCACCACACGACAATAACATGTATGTTTGAATTTATAAAAAAAAATAATTTAGTAATAAGAGGAAGACCATAAATAAAATCAAACATTATGAACTTGTCTCCGAAGTCTCAAACTTCACTTGATTTTTCATTAAGCACAACTTTAGTGACATTATAAAATGTAGTAACAAAGACTTTTTCTTAAATTTATGAAGATAACAATCATTATTCATGTAAAAGAATGCGTCACATATAAAATTAGTATTAACTAAATATATAATACTAATACCACTGTATCGCCTAGGTTTCACTGCAACAAAAGAATTGGTAGATTTGATGAGCCTTCGTTGAGTCCCTCTATCACCTTATCAATATGATCAGCCAACAAAGTACAATGGAGTTGGTTTCCCCTGAAGATAGATTAAATAAAATTAATAAAGTTACAAACCACGAAACAAAACAAAATCAACATTTATTATGGCCGACTTTTCATTGTGTTTACCTTTGGTTCCAATGTAACCTCCATCATTCTCTCGGGAACACCCTTTACCACGTGAAAATCCAAATCGGGAGAAAACCACGGGCCTTTTCTGGCGGTACCATGCCAAGGAAGAAATTTTATTAATATCGGGGGAAGTACATAGTACACAATCTTGGCATTATAGCCATTGATGAAGCGTTTTAGCTCTATAAAGAATAAATAATACGAGTAATTTCTAAGTAATGTGAGACAGAGTATAATTACATGGTAGTATATAAGAGAAGATGAATTATGGAAGTGGTTATGGTAGGGAATTGACTTAGGGATGATAATGGGGTATATTTGTGAGGAGTAATTAACGATGATAATTATGGTAATATTAATTGGGAAATTTGGACCGAGAAATTCTGGCCAGATAATATTTCCCATCATGAAGTCCTCCACATTTTTGAGTTGTGAGAATCATCAACTCAAGAAAGTAAACAATTCCTCCGAGTCATATCTTCAATCATCACGTGTTACATTCTTGATAGGTTGATAGATCATGAAACTTTTTTCGCTTGTCCTCCTTGTCCTTCGCTGGTCTTTGAGCTTCTTCGACTATATCTTCTGATTTTTCTCTTCTTTTTCTACAAAAAATGCAATATATATTTTTCTGACTAATTGAGTCATACACATGTATAATAAATATCTTGATCGAATAGCTCAATATTAGAGCAAATCAAACAACTCATCTCAACAATAATGATGTTAATATGGAGCGAATTAGTGCCAGAGTCATTCGTTTAGTCAACGAGACCGTTGTTAACGTGTATTAATGCGTATGATAATTAGTATCCCCGCGGGTCGGTACGGATTGAATCAACTGTTAAATCAGTGTTAGTCTCACTAACTGATGTAAGTAATCATCTCTTCTATGTCTCTCGAAGACGAATCTAAAATGCCTCGTTAAGAGGGCTTAAATGAATCCGGCATCCACGATAAGAGCTCTGTTCTCCTTTTTTTTAAATGGCCCTCTTTTGATAAACCCTTGTAGCGTTCAATTTAATCATGAAAGTGGCACTACTTTGATCAAACTTTTCAAGCGTCAACTACACATTCATGTTTGTATATGCATGTTTGTAGGAAAAACTTAAAAAAATTTATCACCGGGAAGTGGATATGTTTTCTCCACGGCACAGGATGAGTGACTATTTATAAAAATATTTTATTTCCAAAAAGGAAATAAAATTTCATTAAAAAATTTTATTTTTAAACTTCACTTTATCACCGTCCCTTTACAAAAATAGATGTATAGTTTTCGAAAAGAAAATAAAATTTTATAATGTAAAACTATAAAATGGTTTATACTTATGCGAAATTGTTGATTTTTTCCATAAAAAATTATTTCCTCTTTTAATGTAATAATAATACACTGTAATAATTTATTTCCATATAAAAACACTATTTAAAGGATATTTAAATTCTTACCATTTTATATGAGTGTTTTTATTAAACATTCGTTGATCTATTTCTATATAAAAATATATACTAACATATACCTAGGGGTGTAAACGGATATTAATCGGATCGGATGTGCCATTACCAAATCCGTATCCGTTTATTTTTATCGAATATCAAATTCGGATACAGATCTTGACGGATACTGAAAATCAAAACCGTATCTGCATCCGTCGGATATCGGATATATCCGTATCCGTTTCTAATTTTTAAAATCAAATTAAACAATACTTTAATTTAAAATTAGATTAAAGTCAAACTATTATTAAATCAACTATAAATTGTTATGGGATACTTATTTTCTTTGTTTTCATGATTTATGAAATTCTACGATAACTTCATATGATAAAAATATATACACAGTACACATATACACAGCACACATATACACATATTTCTTTATGTCTGCACATAATTTTATGTGTCTACACATTTATTTTGTATATCAAAATGTTTTATACTTTGAAATATCAATACATAAACAAAATATAAACATTAAAAAATTAGGAAAACCTATATATAACGGATCGGATATTTGGATAAACGGTTATCTAAACGGATGCATATTTGGATCGGATTTTAAACGGATTGGATTTACAATTGCCAAATTCGTATCTGTTTAGTAATCTGATACGGATAATATCCATTTAAAACGGATGCGGATATTTTTTCTTTAAACGAATACGGATGCGGACGGTAATCGAATTTTCGGCTATCCGTTGACAGCCCTACATGATATACCCCGCTGAATATTCATTTCTTACCATTTTTATATGAGTGTTTGTATAAAAATATATTTTAAAAATAATGCACAAGATGATTATTTATTTCTTAACATTTTTAGATGTGTGTTTTAATTTTATAAGAGCTATGTATAAGGTAATAACATAAAAAAAGTTTTATATAAGGTAAAAAGCTTTTTTAATTTTGTTTATTATCGCCCCTTTACAAAACTGAAAGTATAATAATGCACAATATCTTAAATTATTTCCAAAAAAGGAAAAAAAAATTTTAGTTTTAAACTTCAGTTTATAACCGTCCCTTTACAAAAATGGAAGTGTAATAATGCATGGTATAATAATTTATTTCCGAAAAGGAAATAAAACTATAAAATTGTTTATTAGAATGCAAAACTGTTGATTTATTTTCAATAAAATTTATTATTGTCCCTTTACAAAATTGTTGATTTATTTTCGTAAAAAAATTATTTCCTCTTTTAATGTAATAATAATAATAATAATAATAATAATAATAATAATAATAATAATAAGTTTCAAAAATAATAATAATAATAATAATAATAATAATAATAATAATAATAATAATAATAATAATGCACTGTAATAATTTATTTCTAGATAAAAACGCTAATTCAATTCTTACCATTTTTATGTGTTTTTATTAAACATCCTTTGATTTATTTCTATATAAAAATATATACTCCTACTAAAATATACTCTCTTGAAAACTGGAAGTATAATAATGCATCATATAATAATTAATTCCCATTAAAATTTATTTCCTTCTTATAATGTAATAGTGCACCTTATAACAGTATTTTTTTCCACAATAAAATGCAATTCAAGGCTTTTTTTATTCTAACCATTTTTATTCATTTCATCCTTTAATGTAATAATAATGCACTAACTTCTTACCTTTTTTAACCGCTGTAGATCAAGAATAATTGATCCAGAACAAACGGACCACAAAGCTTTGCGTTTGGGCAGGAAAATGGTTGGGCGCAATTTCCCCTATTTTTAAAAATAAGATTGATTTCCCCAATTTTTAAGACTAAGATTGATTGATTATTGCCTTTAAAACATGAGTGCGTCATAGAATCAAAATTTTATATGCGATGTTGATATCATTGGGTAGGTATAATGAAAAGATTACAATAGTATGCTACCTATGTCTTAGTGTATTGGTACTGATGGGAAATAATACGTGGCTCGACTTGTATTTTCCAATTATTTACGAAGAACAATCAAACCGGGTCTGTTTAGTAAAATGGAAGAATAAGAAAATATTCCTCGAAGATTCTTCTCCTCTTCCCTATAAAAGGCATGTTTACCCTCAATATACAAGAGGCCAATTTTTACTCATTCCTTCCCTTCAACTTCATTTCTATCTCTAGATTTTATGTATTTTATTTCTTCAAAGAAGCTTCAAGCTTCCATTAATGGGTTTTAAGCCCAATTCATGTACCGTTAATAAAAATCCCCTGTTGGCAAGGTATCGTCAAAAAAGGCCCGTGGTTTTTCTTCCGATTGGGTTTCCACGTCAAAATCTCTATGTTTGTATTGTGGTGTATTTTGTTAAACTAGTTTATCGTTCTTGCCCGACCAAGAACGATATACCAGTTGAGATAATTTACACCATTATTTTTTACGCCCCCGTGGGACCTGAACAAAAAGTCATGAATTTTCAATTTCTTTATTTTTGTTCATCAAGAGAGACCTATATTTTGGGCTCAAATGAAAAAAAAAGTGGAGGAAGAGAACTCTAATCCCACAAGCACTTCCAATGGCAGAAGTCAAAGAACACAACTCAGCCAAAAAATGCAACTCAAATTTGTCCGCCGTCGCCAATTCATCCCAAATTTGTCTGCCACTGTTGCTGAAGTCGTCGTAGCCACTGTCAAAGTTTTTCTTCCCCCGTGCGGCCATTGGATTGTGGCCACCCCTCCTAAAATATTCTCGCCACCCCCGTTAAAAAACCACATTGGCGTCACCACAAAAAATCATGTCCTGTGTTTATTACTCCATCCTGCAATTGGCAATGGAAATCAAAGATGACATAATAGTTTGCTGTTACCAAAGCAAAATTGGAGGTCCCTGCTCAAATCAAAGCAGATTTCGGAGTTCGCCATCTTCGCCCGCCATCCCTCATTTACTCCCTTCAGTCATATCTTTACACTTCATTAATTATATTTAAAAATATAATTAATTATTAGGCTTTAGACACTACATCATTTTTTTGTCATGGAGCCCCTTGATGAGGTTAGCTGCCACATGGCAGATAATGGCCCTTTTGGGCTCCATGACTACCCGCAGTCTAACGGCCAATACTCTAGGTTTAACTGTAAAGACCAGTTTATTACCACGCTTCTTCCCATCTCACTTGCTTTAATCTTTAGCCTTGCCTTCTATGCTGACACAAACAGAAGACCAGAGGTCATAATCTGCACACAAGGATTGAGTTATTGTTCAAAGCCACTGTTGAAATATTGGAATAATAATATTTCTCATTGAATTATGGAATACGTGATAGAGTATATATAGGAAGGACTCCTAAGACAACTAGAAATAGAGAATGGAAACTCACTAAAATACAACATCTACCATAAATAGGATTAGGAAGCTGACTAATAATCAAACACTAGCATAACCAATACTACCAGAAGTAATATTAGTATTATTGTGTAACATCCCCCCTCAAGTTGAACTCTGGCGGAAGTAAGAGGAAGCTTGGACACTAGCTGGAAACTAGAAACTTTGAGAAGAGAGAAGTCTGACATGCGCCGGTGGTTGCTGACGTTGTTAGACAAGAGGGAAGTCTGACGTGCTCCGGTGGCTACTAACGTTGTTTGAAAAGAGAGAAGTAAGACGTGCGCCGGTGGCTGCTCACGTCGTTGGAGAAGAGAGAAGTCTGACGTGCACTGGTAGCTGCTAACATCGTTGGAGAAGAGAGAAGCATGACATGCGCTGGTAGCTATAGACACTGTTGAAGAAGAGAGAAATTGACGTGTGCTGGTTGCTGCTCACGTCGATGAAGAAGAAAGAAGATTGACGTGCGCTCGTAGCTGCTAACGTCGAGAAGAAGAAGAGAAGGTTGACGTGCGCTTGTAGCTGCTGACCTCGAAGATGCATAGAGAAGGCTACTGGAGGTGCTTGTTTGACTGAAAATCTTTGACATTCTTTTTCTTTTTCTTGGATTCGAGCAATGCCCTGTTTCTTTCTTGAAGGGGTGAGTTGTAGAGGTATTCTTTCCTCTTTCACTACTTCCCCTCTTGGCTTTGCTTTTGTGTTGATTTTCTTGAGATTTTTATTGGTTAACAAATGAGAAAGAGAATGGAGATTGATGATTAGAATGAGTCATTTGAGAGATAAAAAGGTGGATTAAGAATTGATGATGGAGAAAAGATCTAGGTCTGAGATTTTGCTACAATGAATTGGAGAGAAATAACTATCATTGTTTTTCTTGATTTTGTGAAGATACGAAGATGAGTTGAAAGAGTTTTTGAGAAGTTGTCGATCCTGAGGGTAAATGAGAATCAGGCTTAGACGATGGTGGAGCGGTTGTGGATCTTGAGGGCATGTTTCCCTTCGGCGTTTTTTTAGAAGAACCATGGAGATGACAAGAGGGAAGCTCCTCCTTTCACGCCTTTGGTGGAGCGGTTGTGGATATTGAGGGCATGTTTCCCTTCGGCGTTTTTTTAGAAGAACTATTGAGATGACAAGAGGGAAGCTCCTCCTTTGACGCCTTTTTTGTGTGATTTCAACACGGAATTTTTTTTCTTTTTTTGAATGGAAAAGCTAATTTGAGGATAAAAGAAGTAAAAGAAAATATAGGCGAATAAGGTGGAGCCGCCGTCGCTGGTAATACCAGTGGCGGCGGTGGAAAGAAAGAACTCTTTTACGTCACCAAGAGCGGTGGCTTTGATACCATGTTGAAATATGGGAATAATAATATTGCTCATTGAATTATGGAGTTCATGATAGAGTATATACAGGAGGGAGTCCTAACACAACTAGAAAAAGAGAATGGAAACTCACTAAAATACAACATCTGCCATAAATAGGATTAGGAAGCTGACTAATAATCAAACACTACCATAACCAATACTACCAAAGAAAAGTAATATTAGTTTTATTGTCTAACAGCCACTCTAGTACTTTTCAATTTTCCATTTGAAATGGTTTCCTTAAATACACATTGGTAATTTTCTAATTAGAAGAAACACATCTTGATATTTTTTCAGTTTTCCTTTAAAATGATGTGTTGTCGTGCTATTCTCCTATCTCCGATTTCTTTCGTCTTTGAATCTGAAATGAAATAGGTATCATGGAGGCTCACCATGGAGGATGAATTCCTATCAAGTGGAGATTGTGCTTTAGAATGATGATGAGACTTGGATGCCACCATCAAGGGGGATATAGATTACAACTTAAGACATTAGAAGAAGGTGAAAATTTATGATTTAGCACAAGATCTTGGGGGTAAGACAATGTTTATTTTCTTTAGTGTTCTTTAAACAAAAAATAATAATTTTTTTGGTGTTTATGATATGGTTTCTTGATTTTACAAGAATATGCACATAATGCGTTTGTTGAATTGCTTATCCAATATATAATGATTTGTCTAATAAATATTGCTTAAAAACTCTTAGTTTTAACTTGGATTTTTTACTTTCATGCTTTTGGTTATTGGTCTATTATCTTCCTTGCATACCTCTTTGGGTTTAGTATATTTTTCAAAGAATAGTTGACCTTGGGTCTTTATGGTTGTGATTCAGATATGGGTCGTTGTCTATCGTGGTTGTGGAGGTATTGTCTTTGTGCAAATAGGTATCCCATGTCTCAATTTTGCTACCAAGAAGACTAAGATAGAAGAGCATCGCAGTTTAGCGATTTCGTAGTTGCAGCAGTAATTGAGCAGCAGGGTTCTTTCATAATGTGTATGAAGCATTTTCATCATTTTTTTTGAATCTCATTTGATTGTTAAGAAGCCCCCTTTATCATACTAAAAATTCGAGATTACTTTGTGTACGTATTCATTCTATTTTAATGTGTGATTTTTTGTCGCGTATCTAGTGGTCCACATTATATTGATGTATGTTAAAAGAGACTGTAAATAAAATATGAATCATAATGACAAAGCAATACATATTTTAGTACCTTGAAGTAAAAAAGTTCTGATCAGTTGTTTGACATGCAGATTTTGGATTAGTTGTACGTTTTAGACAAGATTTCAAATGAACACCACTCATTTACAGGCTTTATTGTCTATAATATTTCACACTTTCGATGCCTACTTGTAGAAGTTTGTGAGCCAATTAGGTATCTGGGTATAAATAGTTTTATAAAACCTATACAAAGCAGGAGAAAAGCTAGCCAAAATTTTCTCTCTCAAATCATCTTGCAAGATCTACTACACTACATATTGACCTTGCCTTATTAATTAGTGGTTGGAAGCCAGATGTGTTAGTTCCCTCAGATCCTGTCATATCCTATGTGAATATAACTTATTCATTTGACTTACCCTTCCCTGAAATCATATACCATAACATCATATACAAAGGCACACAATGAATTCATTTTATTTTAATGCCTATTTTTTGGCCGGATCTAATGTTTTGTAATGTTGCATTTTAAAAGGGGTTAGAACTAGATATAAAAATTATTTTCACAAAGAAAGGTATTTATTTTTATATCACTTTGTTATGAGAAAGCATTTTAAAATGAAACAAAAAATATTTTATGATTTGTATATTTATGGAGATTATATGCATTCAAAGAATTGAATGGGAGATAAAAGTGGTTATTTTTGTTCGAATTTAAAGCCTATAGGATAAAATTCTAGATTTTTTTTGAACGTATAATCTTGAGGTATAACTCTTGAAGCAAAACACATTTATAATTCTTGAATATGTGGTAAGATATGCAGTATTAACTTTGTGTTCGCTGTTGTCCACAACTCATGTTGTTCTTAGTTATCACTTTTACAATTCAGATAATATTAGCACTGTGTTTATTTCCGAGGGTGCAAAACAGAGTAATATACCGTGTCTTTTCTGTTGATTTGTTTAATGTAATTTATTACTGGGGAAGGTTCCCGTGACATTGGGAACCAATATCATGGGATGACCCGGGGGCGTTCCGGTGCCCCGTTCGTAAAATTGACGGTTCCTACCCCCCTAACTCCCCCGGTAAACCCCCCATTCCACCCCGACCCGAACACACCCCTCCACCCCCTATAATTGCACCCCACAAGTCGATTTTGACTTTGGAGTCAAACCCGGGTCATCCCATGATGGGAACCAAGGTGTTTATTACTCTGTATGTTTGTTGTTAATAACTTTAAATTTCATTATGAAAGCAATTGATTTAGTAGATTGGTCGATTGAATATATGATTTCAAAGGTTAATTATTTGATTTGCAAGTAACTTGAATATGCTATTGTGTTATTTTTATCTTAAAAGGATAATCAAGATTTAATGAGGCGGCAAATCAGAGTAATATACAATGTCTTTTGTTTATTTACTTGAACGAATTTATTACTCCGTATGTTTGTTGTTAAATTTTATCTGTTAAGCAAATGATTTAGGGCCTGTTTGGGAATAGCGTTAGCTATTAGCGTTAGCGTTTAATAAAAACTATCTACGGGCAGCGTTTAGCGTTAGCGTTTTCAAAGTAATCTACACCGTTAAAATTTTATCCAAAACGTTAACGCTAATCTCTAACGCTATTCCCAAACAGAGCCTTAGTAGATTAGAGCATGTATAATGGTGAGGAAAAATGGAATACCATACACTGACTTAGAAAGTTTCAACTAGTAAAAAATAGTCCAGTCAGAGAGTGTCAAGTGAGTAAAGTTCCTGCAGTGCCAATCATTGCTTGTCACTTATTATATTTTTTTGAGGCATTTTACTTAATAAAAATTATTTCTTCTAGAACCTTTATAAAAAAATAGCTATATTCTTTTTCCTTATTAAAAAAAATAAAAAATCTTTTCCTTTTTTAAAAAAATTAGAACAAATTGTTATCTACGGAGTATTTTTTAATGAATTGTTAACTATTTTTTAATGAATTATTATCTATTTTATTTAAATTCCTTACAAAACGGGGGGCTAGGCTAGGGGCGCAATGGTGGGACATGCGTTGGGTTAGAAAAGGTAATAATCATCAATTTTGCGGATAGAGCATCGGAAGTACTCTAAATGGGTTTGTGTCATCCGTAAACACTAACTAAACCATACCGTGGATATATTATACGTAGTATCTGTAGTCTTCAATCTAAAATCGGTGGTGAACTTTGGGCGAAAAAGTGAAGCTTGCATAATAAAGTATGGGTAAGATATAGAGTTAAACAATTAGACCATCTCCAATCCTAACTACAAACTTAAACCTAAAATGCAATATATAAAATAAACACATAAATACATAAACACAACTAATTGAAAAATGCTATAACAAAATAAATTAAAAAGAACAAAGAAAAAAATGCAGTAACCCCATTGTTAAACGCATATCTGTGTTGGGGAAGAGAAGAGAGAGAAGAAATACTCAAAATCAGTTTTAGTTTGGGGGATGGTTGGGGAAGCCGGGAAGAAGAGTGTGAAGTAATACGAAAATGTTAGTCACAAACAAATAGTTCATAAACTTGACTTTTGTGAATTTTAAAAAGACAAATTTATAAATTTTGTGAACTTTTTGTTGGTGAATCTAGTATTACCCTAAGTAATATTATTGAAACTGACGGCGTGAAGGTTACTGTAACGTCAAATACGAGAAGACAAAAAGTACAGAGTATTTAATTAATCCTCCGTTTAGAAATGATCTTCCTATTTGACTTTTCATTGTTACCATTGTAACATTTTGACCGTTAATATCTACATTTATACATAGATATATTTTATGAAAATTTAATATTTCAAAACTACATTTAATAAAGAAATTATTGATAATATATTTAATTTATATCGAAACACAATATTTTTTTTTAATATATCAAGGTCAAAGTGTATAAATTTTGACTAAAGAAGTCAAATGAGAAGATCATTTTTCAGTTGGAGAGAGTACGTAATTACATACATTACCACAAGGAACCACCAACATTACGTTGGTCCACCACCATGTCCATGCTAAAAGGGTCCCCGTTATGGTTAGCGCGAGTGTGCCTAGAGGACGGGGGCGGCGAATCGGTATCAGGCGAGTTCGAGGGCGAGCCCCCACCAGACAAGGAGGAGAGTTGCCTCATTCTAAGGCGCACCACCTGAGCTTGGGTGATTGCCAGTTGGGTCTGGAGAACATCAACTTGCTGCTGTAGTGTCGAAATGGCTCCTACGCACCCGTAGACTGGATCCATCATCCTCGCATGTGCCTCATACACCATCGAACTCACCGCATCACCTCTTTGATGCTCCGGCAACTCCTGTATATACGCATGCAGATCAGACAGGAATTATTCTTAGAACGAACTACCTACACGCGCTATATCTAAGTACTCCATCAAACAACACACATTCGGATTTAAAAAAGGTGAAACACGAGGCGCCCTTGCACTTGGCCCGACAGCATAGTGAGAGGTAAATTCGGGTATAGTACGTTTGTGTTTGATCCTTCAAAAGATTGTCTCGTGCCCGATGGAGACTTCGAGTTAAGAGAATTGAAATGTTGCTTCCCTCAATCTCAAAACATGTTTGTCACGCAAATTAGAATATACTTTACTCTCTTCTAAAAAACATTTCCTGTTTACTAATTCAGGCATCTCGATAACTTTTATTTATTTATGTTTTTCATTAATTATTTGATTTAAAAAAAAATTCACTATTTGTATTGGTGTTTTTGGAGTAAAACTATTGATGTTTGTAATATACACTACTTTTTTATTCTTCTAAAAAGTACTTGAATAATGTCTAGTGACGGAAACAATGTCTAGTAATCTGATGATGGACGCTTAGTTTGAACAATGCCCTGTATTGGTGGATATTTACTTGCACAATGACCTGAGAACGTTAAACAATGATACTACATTAGAAAATAAAAACATTTTATACTACATTGTGAAAGTCACAATGTTTTAGTACTATTTAAATAAATTTCTCTTAACTATATATAGCTTTGTTTTTCATTTATGTCATAAGAGCAACTCGGAGAGTGTGCAGGTTGTATATCCCATAGGGTCCCCAAATTTATGGAACACAATATATTTAGATGTTCAGTATTTGAATTATTTATATATTTAAATTTAAATTTTGATCAAAATAAATGTTTATTTATTTAAAAAATCTTATTTGTAGTCAAAGTGTTATAAAATAATGGGAATTAAAAATCATACTCCCTCCGTCCTAGAGTATTTGTCCACTTTCATTTTTGCACAACATTCAATGCACTTCTTTAATCCAATTTATCTTGTAATTTGTATATTAAAAAATTATAGAAATTATATATTAATAATCTATATGTTAAGACAAATCAAACAAGATCACACATGACTATATTTAGATTTACACATTGAGAGAATTTGATGAGTCAAAGTGTTTAAATGAACAGTTTCAAAAGTTAAAAGTGGACGAATATAGCGGGACGGAGGAAGTACTACTTATCACTGATTTTTTAAAAAAAGAAGCCCAAAATATGTTTTTGCACCGGGTATTTATTATAGTTTTTCGTTTCGAAACCGGCCGTCATTGATTAAACAATTGTTTCATAGTGCTTTTAAAAGGGAAATTCACGAAGGGACTACAATTCTAAGTGGTGAAATTTGTACTAAATAGGACTAAAACATAATGACTTTCTTAATGTATGACTTAAATTTTTTTATGTCCTAAATAAGACTTAATAATGACCTAATGAGAGAAATAATGTCCGGTAATATAATGCTAGACATTTACTTGAATAATGACTACTTGATAATGACCAAAAGTCCTACATTGGGAAATAAAAACATATGTTTCTATATTGGGAAAGTCATTATGTTTTAATCCTATTTAGGCAAATTATCCTTCTAAGTGTTAGGTATGTTCAATATAATATGCATACAATTTGTCACATTTTTATTCTTTACTTCGAAATTGCATATTGTTTGATCCCTACTGCTATGTCCAGCACCTCACCACCGCTCTAGCTATTAGCAAGTATAAGGTCAACTTTTTTTATTTATCTTGAACCAATCTCCTATTTCCCTCTATGCAACCGTTTTTTAAAAAATGTTTCTATCGTGCACCATGGGTGCATACCAATTTTGTACATCTTCTCACATAATTTTTTATTATTTATTTTTAAATTTTTAATTTAACTAAATGCTCATTTAGGTAGTTAGGATTTGCTTATTTTCTTATATGTAGGTCCATGGTGGATTTTAGGTCTACCATAGAATTTGCCATTTTTTTAAATACTCCTTTCATCCCATGCCAAAACAATTGGTCTATTTATTATTTCAAATTATCGATAAATTTTTTTCTGTGTATGTGTTTTCATTTATTACGGAGTATTTGATTAAATAAAATAGTCATGTGACCAATTATTTTATAGAAAGATACAATTTTGTACGTTGTTCAAAAAACAATGTTTTTGAGACAAAGGCGTAATATTTCATCCGTCTTTACACATTTTCTTTCAATATTTGATAAATCAAAATATTTTTGTCACCAGTTGTTGTATAAATTAAAACTTTTAATATAGTTTTAAAATGTATAAAAAAAATTTATTTCTATACTTATTTGTATATATAAAATAAAATTATAAGATATGATATTTTACGCATAATTTGAATAGTGCAATTCATGGAACTTTGACCAAATATATACAAATACGTAAAAAATTACAGAGTTTAATATATAAAATTTAGTTAATTGAAAGTGTTGACTTTCTCAAAATAAAAAAAAAAGTACTTCAGTAGCTGCATCTGCATCTCTCGCTATTCTTCTATCCTAGGAAGGTAATAAGACTTTATTGTTGTTTGTTATGTACTAATATCTAATTAGAAAAGTATGATTAACGATTTGACTCAATCCCATTAATTGATTTACGTGATTATCTCTTTGTACGTGCATATTTGTGTAAGATCTGAGGGCATGTGTTTTAAGTGGTTGTTAGATTAAGGAATTTAGTGAAAAAAATTCTTTTAGGAGGGAGAGAAATGTAACGCCTAGAAAACCAACTTACTACTTAGCCTTAAGTTTTAATAAAAATTAATATATTATTTTCTTACTAAATAATATGAATTATTTGTAAAGTTGACTTTTTTATTTAAAAATTAGGCTTTTGGGTAGATCTCGTAAAAAGGTGACCAACGGTATATAATTTGTTAAGTTTAAACTCTCATACAAATCGCTATGAGTAAAATAAATGTTATTGTTCAATAAATTATTTGGGTAAGGACAACAAATCGAGATTCTCAGCTCAATCCATATGGCTCTAACCGAGTGTTCAATGTGTGTCATCCAAGGGAGCCCGAAAGTAGAACTAATGTAACAAAAAAGTCTAATTTTATGGCATTAAGCGTCTATGATGAATAGATTTGCTTTTGAGACATAAGATCACACAATGAGGTTGTCTAATAAAAAATACTTGAGAAATGAACCATTCATGGGAAACCAATTGTACTCAGAGGTAATTTTGGCAAAATTCTTTCAATTATATCATGAGTTTTGAGAGAGGAAATTGTATGTGTTACCATCAATTCTTAAAAATTATGGTCGTATTATAAAGTTTATACGTTGATGAATAATATGAGATTGCATTCATCTACGTCCACTTGCATAGATAGGGACACACAAGCTTTTTCTGATTAGATAAGCAAAGTTGGATATGAAAAGCTTGGATAATTGATAGATGGAATGAACAACTGACGTTGAAATTTTTTTTGATTTTCTGATTATAGACACGGTTATCCCATCAAGAATATAGTAGACTTCACTAATATGAACCTATTGGAGAATATGAAAAAAAATTAATGATAGGGCACTACGGGCACTCACCTCGAGGTTGTAGAAATGGTGAATGAATTTGTCCTATTCCTCATTCTCGGAGATGAAATGATGTACTTGAGTTTTGATTTTTCATGCCAGACAAATTTAGATGTAGATCGATGTTGATTGAATAATCGTTGAGTTTTTGAATGAAATTAAATCTTGAAGGATCCCAAAACACAAAATAATTTTAAAAAAAGTACCAATTATGTTATAGAGGAACATTGACCAAACATCTATATTGTGTAATGGTAAAAGATAGTCATTGAAGAGATGTGAAAAAAATGTTATCAGTGCTATTGTGGTTTCGGGAAATCGAGTCACAGAAAAGTTTAAATACTCCAAATGAATTTGGTACCATCTGATCTAAGACTACCCGTGAAGTTCAAGAGAAGACATTTCCCAAAAGCCTTATGTTTTGCTATGACTATCAATAGAAGTCAGGGTCAAATATTGTCATTTGTTTGATTATTTTTAACCAAGTAGGTGTAACCTCCTAGTCAACTTTAAGTTGTTGTTTCATGAGTGAAAACAAAGACAATATTAAAAATATTAGTTCTAGATTACAATGAAAACTTTTGCAACCATATCAAAAATGTTATATACTCTGAAGTCTTATATAAAATTTGGTATTAAAACAAATTTTGTTGAGTACACATTCAATTCCTCAAATATTATTTATTTTACTTTGGCATTTTTGTCTATGATATTGAAAATCATGTGAATTATATTTTCTTTATTCTGAAAAAATATTGTATCGAAAAAGTTTCAGAATCAACTAAAATTTCGTTCGATCCCGTGTGTGACACGGGTAAAAATACTAGTACATATATCCTTTATCCTTTATAGATAAATTTGAGACTCCTACCTCTAAAAATTTGACATGTGGCTCTTTAAAATAATGAAAAGTGGCTCTTTAAAAACTTGACATGTGGCGATATCTATGTGACATTATTTTTTGACAAATTTTAATTTGTTATTAACAAAAAATAGTTTCTTAGAAATTTATGAAAGACAATGAATTAAAAGTAAAGTAAATATTTATTGTACTTCAATAAATATTCAACATTCACTCAAAAAAATTTAACATGTGATTAATAATTTAAAATACTACAAGTAATACTTTACATTGGATTAAATTAAACTTTTTCTTTATGTTTTGTTAAAAATAAAATTTATTAAAATTTAAATAAATGTTTTTATATAAAAAAAATGAGACTCCTATATTAAGAAAGTTGAAATGTGCATTTATTATGTGGCTTATATAATAAACTTATGTGACTCTTCAAAAACTTGACATGTGGCGATATCTATGTGACTCTTTAAATCTTATAATTTTGAGATTTTTGTTTTTATAATAATATTCTTTTCTGATTCAATCTTTTTCTCTCTTATTTATAAAAAAACTTTCAATTAATAAATATATTACTCCTTTCACCTCTAAAAAAAATCATATGAG